CCACAACTGCATTCGTCTGTGGGATCCAAGGGTTAAAAGCAGGTGGTGAGAAAGCAACACAATGCTGCCTGCATAACCCCTTGTTTGCTTTACTTCACAAGGTTGCAGGGCACTTGAAGAGCGGCTTCATTCACTTGAATGGGTCATGCTTGGCAGGTGCTACACCCACCAACCATGACAGGGCGTATAACTCCTGCTGCAGCTGTGACTTGTACACCCCTGACTACTGCAGCTAAAACAGGTGCGGTTGGAAGAGGGCGGTAAAAATATGGTTTAACTATGGGGGTTTACCACCCCCCAAACTGCAAATGTAAATTAACCCTTACTGTTCTAAGCCCCCTATAGGGCTGCTTTCACACTGGTGTGCTGCGGCTTACCTGCACTGCAGGTGCAGCGCTGTGCATTTGCGACTTTTCTGGGTTAGCTGCGCTTTGCCACAGACTAGGAGTCTATGGCTAAGCTCAGCAAGCCAACAGAAAAGCTGCAGGTACACTGCACTTCACCCCCAATGTGGGTAAAGTGCAGCACATCAATGTGAAAGTAGCCTTATACTTTTATGCCCAGTGTATTGCTTCACAGTGACCTGAAGATCTCTTTCTTTCCTGCTGCTGGCACCACTCTGGAGACCACTAATCGGGATAAGAGGTGGAGTGAAGCTGGTATCAGCACTACAGAAGAGGCATCGGCTTTTGTGGCTCTTGCTTCCTACCACAGCTCCAACTTTACAAGTCCCTTTGCATTTGTACTCTGTTGCTCTGGGATGGTGGGTCAGCTAGCCCAGATCGCAATCTACCAGTCACCTGGCCACGATCTACTGGTAGATCGTGATCTATGGGTTGCAGACACCCGACCTAGAATATTTATTCTTGCAGTATTCTAAATCTGATATATAATATCTGACTGTGAGATCTGCTAGCATAATGATCTCTGCTTATAAGTACTCTAACCAAATATTCCTTTGTATTCACAGAAATTGTAGATCTTCCCTTGGTAAAATTAGATATTTCCTGCAATAAAGTGCTGATGTTACCACTTTGTTTTAGAAAAATGGTGCAATTACAAGTATTAATATTGGAGAATAACCCACTACAATCCCCACCTGCACAGGTTAGTTCCTATCTTTCTTATTTCTTTTAGTTTTGGTTGCTCTGATCTATACTGTACAAATGAGCTCCATGGCTGTTTCAAAGCCCAGTAGCATAGATGCTGAAGTAAAAAAAAGTAGTATACAAAGTGTGCATTCACACATACTTCAAGTTTCTGTGGCCTCTAACACTTATAAAAGTGTACCTTTATTAGAAAAATGTAAGATACTGTAATTCACAGTAGGACATGCCCTCCATCTGGCAATGTGGACCTGTTAGGTGCAGTGAGTATTAAAAATTGCATTGGGGATTGCGGATGTGTGCTTCTGTTCTCACTTACAATGACAATTTATAGGGTGCTGTGGGGGTACTGGGAGGATGGATAGGGAACTTTTTTGGTGTCTGTGTATCATTGGGGAAATTTCCCCTTTTACTTCCTGTCCCAGAGACGCAACAAGAAGTTAGACAAAATCCACTATGCTCAAAACCCTCAGCTGTTTTATCAAAATTGAGAAATTTACAGGTGTATATCCAAGATTCTACATCAGACATTTTTCTGTAGGCATGCTTTGATGACAGTTGATATGTGTATTAGACATAAAAAGGGTGAGGGTCAGAAAAGTGCAGTAGGATGAAGGTTCCCTTAGTCAAACAATGATGAAGAACGTGTTCACAGTAATGCACATTGTGGAATGCAGAATGTCAATGGGAATCCCCGCACTCACATCAGATTTCTCTTTTGCTGCTTCATGTGGTGGCCCTTATGGAAGGTGACTATTATAATGGATGATCCCATGCTGGGTTCTAGAATGCAATGCTTACATTCCAGTCCCTGCAGCCCTTGCTAATTTGCATTTAGAAGAAGAGCAAGGAAACTTTGTATGGTGACTGTAATATAAAAAACACATTTTTCTCATTGTTCTAGTTTGTAAACAAGTCATGAACATGAGGGGACATGAGGAATGCATTTATTTTTCAAAACACCATAGCACTTTTATTTAATTATATTGGCATTTATGTGCCTGTAAAGGACTTTCCTTCATAATTTGCCTCTGGATGGTACACAAGATTGTTGAGAGTTTTGGCTTTGCTTAATATTAAGCATGGGGGCCTGTTAAAATCATGTCATGTGGCACAATATCTTTTTATGTGCAAAGACTGTAATGGGTGAACTTTACCAACAAAGGGAAGTTGTCTTGTATCTTAAAATGAACCTGTCCTCAATCTATGCAAACTAAGGTATTTGCACATTCCAAACAAGCAATAAAAGCACCGTAAAAGAAGCATTTGATCACTGCTGTAGCTGTGAGCATTATTATTATATTATTATACAGTATTTATATAGCACCAAAAAGTTTGCTCAGCGCATTATAACCAAAATAGTCTTCAAATGTCACAACAAAGGCATGGAAATCCCATTCGTTTTCCTTTACTTTCCATTGCTGCAGAATCTTGGCAGCCTGCCAGCTTTGAAATGTAACACGCTAGTGAAACTGACTTTAGAGTGTTTGTTGTGATCTTTGAGAATGAACTACTATACATGGTGACAGGATTGTTTTAAAGCTCTTTCACTGTTTCACCTATTATGATCATTTAGGAAGCAACAGCCCTTTTTGTGAAAGCAACATTTTTGTTTAAGGCTACATGTACACTAAGCTTCCTTGGATGCCAAACTCTCCTGGCAGCCGAAAAAAAACCCACTAAATGCTGGTAAACGTGCTACCATGTTTACCCGCGTTTAGCACTCGGACGTTTATTCATTTTATTGGCCATAGTACTTAACATTAAAATGAATAAACCCGCAAGCGCTCAACGCAGTTAGCGCTTAGGCGAGTTTACACACGTTTAAATGCATGTACAAGCGTTTTTGCCATGTTTGGCATTTTTTTGGCCAAAACTTTCTTCTCCTAAATGGGATTCTTGTGCGTTCAGGAGAGGTGCGTTTAACTGCCCTTAAACTCTGCTGCTGCTAAACTCTGATAAATGCTTATGTGTGCATGGACGCATAGGCCTTTATTGAGTTGAGCTCAGGAGCTTTGGCAAAAAAAAAAATGCCAAAAGCTCCTAAAGTCACATTTAGGAGCAGCAGTATGCATGAGGCCGAAAGCTGAAGTTTACCTGAAAAAGAAAAAAAAAATAATAAGGGGCATTATCTACTATCATGCTGTAGTCCGCTTTGTATGAATGAAAGAGATGGGTGGAAAGGGTAGGCATAGTTGGCCACTCATGATAAGTGCCTGTCACAGCTCCCTCAGTTCTTTTAACACCTGTTGCACCAGAAGATTATGGTGATGCGTGGGTGGGGCATTGGAAGAGGAAGATTGCACCTAAACTAGGAGATGGCAGCACAAGGGACAAATCATATTGATGGTAAGCAATGTCCTTTGTGCATATTTTTTTTTTGTAAACTTAGGCTTTAAAATCAACCGTAGCCAGGATCATGCACACTAAAGTGTCTACTTATTCTCGACACGCAGTAAAAACACTTAATAACATAACTCGTTTGTCTCTCATTGATACACATTGTGGAGAAATTAATTTTCTAAACTAATGCAGGCCATACATGGGTCGAATTCCAAACAAATTTTCTTTAGAAAATCAGAAATTTAGTGCATTCTGTAATCCGATGGTGCCACCATTGATTTTGAAATATGACCAACCAAGCTTTCAATTTCACATATTCCTACAGCTTGAGGTGATTGTATCTCCGGATCATACAGCTGCACCTCTAGTAATGTTGTGTACCTTATCCAGTGCAGAAAATGTAGCAAAGGATCTTATGTTGGTGAAACAGGACAGAAGTTGCAAACAAGATGAATTTGCACAGACATACCATCAAGGAACATAAAGAAGATGACTTTTGCACACCTGTGGGACACCATTTCGCACAGACCACACAATGGAAGACCTCAATATTTTAGTTCTTAAAGGAAATTTCAAATCCATTCAGGAAAGAAAAACTTTTGAACTAAGAATGATAATTCTATTTGACACAAGAGATAACACCTTAATTTAGACATGGGATTCCGCAATCATTATCCAACAGTTTTATGACTATCACCTCAAGCATGACTCCCTCTGTGAGTGTTGTCTCTCCCCCCCCCCCCCCCCCCCAGTCTTTGCTTTTGCTGTGTCTTATCTCTAGTCTCTCTTTTTTTTTTTTTTCATCCCCCACATCTCTTCTAACTTTCTGCTAAAACTTTGTGATTAGTGCTGCTTGGACCTTGAAGAAGGGGACATACCCCGAAAGCTTGTCGTCAAAATTGTATGTTAGTGCATCAAGTATCACGGACAGTACTCAATTGTACATGTTCCTACAGAAAATAATTTTCGCGGCTAAGAATTTTTCTTTCCAGGTCACAGCCCATGCTCGTTTCTTTTTTGATTATATTTCTCACACGACTCTCCCATCATTGATTGGAAATTAATTTGTTTTTCAAAAAATTTCCACATGCCCGATCACTCAAATTCAATGGTCACAAGAAAATCAGCAGTTGCTGTGGCCCACTAATGGTGCAAAATTCGAACGAAATTTCTTTGAAAAGATTTATTTTGGAATTTGACCCATTTATGGCCAGCTTTACACTGAAATCCTAGTTTTATTATGAAAGCAAAGGTCAGACTGTCAGCCCTTTAATATAAGCACACAAACTACATGTTTCGAAGCTGTTAGAAACTGACTGAAACTGACTTTAGAGTCTCTCTTGTGATCTTGAGCATTAATTACTTTGCCTTATAAGCAGCTAGAGAGGTGAGGGATGGCTTGTTTTCTCAAACATGCATAATAATAATAATAATTGGCCATACTTTACATGCAAAAATCAGTTTCCACACTTCACTTGAATGCCTGTCTCTTTTCTTTTTAACAATTTACACATTTATATCTCCTAGGTTTGTATTAAAGGCAAAATTCATATATTCAAATACCTAAGTATACAGGCTTGTCAAATTGAAAAAACGGGTGAATTTTATCTTCATTCCATTGAAAGACCAATTCTGCAGCAACATGTTGAGGAAAGGTGAGCTTGCATGCGTGGGAGCAGTTGTTTTGCTATGGTTTTCTTATGAATATTTACAATAAAACAAAATATTTGTGTTATACAAGAGTGCCAATGAGGAATGTTCAGCATGTTCTGTGTATGTTGTATATGCATACACCTAAATATGTATACTTGTGGAATGGGCCCAGGATGTTTGTTTTGCACACTGTTTACTTTTTTTAATATGCTTTCCATAGTGGAGTGCATATAGAACTGCATTGAAACTGTTGGTAGGGGGGCCACACCTGTCCACAAGGTCGGTGGTTAGTTTTGCACATATACTACACATCCTATTTCAAGTTAAAGAAATGAAAACCTGATTCATTAGGTTACATAGAAAAAATGCGAACATCACAGGCCAATGGCAGTAATGCATTGCTATGGTGGTAGAGCAGAGGTGATCAACACACTGCAGCCTAATATTAGTGGCAATTAACAGTGCAACATTATAGTATGTGCAACGTGGTCTCTATCCATAGTCTAGTACTGGTAGTAGACAGAAATAGAGAAGAGAACCATGCAATGCAAGGTGTCCTGCCACTAGGTCCATTCATTACTCACAAATTTGAGTCTTTTAACATAATGACCAAAATGTAAGGTCATAATTGTTTATATGATATGTAAGCATATGAAGCAAATGCTTGCTTTGTGATTATAATGCTTGGGGGAAGCATTATTAAATTACGGTGACTAATAAAGAAATAAATACAAAGACAACGTATAACTTTACAAGAGAAATGCATTAACAAATACAGAAACATTGCAAAACAGAAGTGTCAAGCTCACATTTGGGAGAGATTTTGGGGTTGATTTACTAAAACGGGGGGAAGTTTTGCATAGAAACCAATCGGCTTCAGGTTATTTTTTTCAAAGCTTAATTGAACAAGTTGAGGCTTGAATCTGATCGGCTACTGTGCAGAACTGCATCAGATTTAGCATTCTCCAGTTTTAGTAAATCAACCCCTGTGTGTATTATGTCAGTCACTGGTGCTTTGAGCTTTACTGATATGATGTGCTTTCTCTATCTGACCCCTCACAAAGACAAGTGCATAGCAGAATGAAAATATAGATTGCTGTATATTGGACTTTTGCTTTATTTGTGAAACACAAGTGTGACAGCATACATTTTTAATCCAAAGTTTTTTAGTTAAAAAAGCTATATACAGAAGTACACATGAATGTTGCTGAGATTTACAACCACAACAGAGCAGTAATTGCCTTTTATGTCTCAGTAAATAATTAAGATGATGAATGATGGCATATGTTTACTAATCGGCAACTAAAAGGGCACTAATAATAAATTGTAATTTACACTGTTGCTCACATCAAAGTAAAAGTCATGTAAATAAGATATAATTTGTGTAATATGAAATTGATATTCCAAAAGATGTCTGCTCCCTATAGGACTGATTGTAGGAAGCTGGACCAAGAAGGATTATGTTTTCCATCGTAGCCATTTAAACTTGATTGTTTTTTGCTCTGACTAATTGCTGTGGACAACAGATAGACATAACCGTTTTGTACTTTTTTATAAATCATCTCAAGGGTGGAGGTCAAAAAGTCATGAAGACATGACTTGCTTCTCTAGAAATTCTCCATATTTTAAGCTGTGATCTTGTGTGTCATGTCATTCTACTGTGTTATTAACTCAATCTTTTAATGGATAACTTGTAGCATCGAAGACATCTTCCCAATAAAAAAAGACTCGGACTCCGGTGTGGGCAGTGACAGCGGTGAGAAGCGTTTATCAGCCTTAGAGGTACCTTATCAGCTTTCATATATTTTTGCTTTTATTCTGCTATTAATTGCCACATTTCAGTATGTTATGGTACTTGAGAATGTTCTTTGATCAAATAGTTTTAAATGTACTGTAGATTGTCTAACTATATGGGTTCATGCAAAAAATGTTAGAAGATGACTGTGGTAGTAAACTGAACTTAAAGTTAAAGTGGAACTCCATGCTGGACTAAAAAAATTGTGCCCCCCAAGCAAATGCAGAATCTAAATCTCAAATTCAAACCATAACCCACGTTCTCAACAGCCAAAGCTCTGATTTTTTGGAATGCTGGTGTACCCTCTAGGTCATCATGTGCATTGAAGAGCCACAGGGGGCCATTGGTCCTACATGGTGGCATCGGCAAAGAGTGTGGCAACATGATGTCCTAGAGACCAGCAAGAAGAAATGCTTTGGGGGAGTGATTGTCCCATCTGTAATCAATAGGGAGGAAGAATGACGGACCGTGGATTAAGGTGAATAATCGTGTACTAGATTCCCCCTAGACAAAAAGAGCATTATACTCTGCCTATGCTGGGGTGGGGGACATGACACTTTTATTTTTTAATTTTTCCAACTAGCCCAGAGTTCCAGTTTAATGCTATATGTTTAAATTAGATTCACCATGTACCACATTTCTTTATATAGTATATACAGTGGGAGTAACTTGGTAAAGTATTTTTCATGTTGATTAGGACAATAAAGTCTACAGAGGCCAACACTAGCTGGCATTACCTAACTACCAGTCAGCTACAGCTTTCCTTCTGGCTGATGTCAGGTTATTAATTCCGCAATGTTTTTGGTTATAGGCATGCAGGCCACTAACATGCCACCTTAATAGTTTTGACACCCCATTCAAATGTTGCAAGTTGCCAATAAGATGAGTTACCAATATCATCTCAGACTATTCACAGTCCCAAGTTTCATCCCACCAGAAACTAATATTTCAGGTTTGGTAGATAGACAGTTATATTGGAAGTATAGACTAATATAAGTCTGTTTAAATTTTCTGTCCCCCCTCTCCTCAAACTTATGTTGCATTCTGCTTCATCATTCAATCCCACCACACCCTCACCTGAAAATAAAACAAAATGATTTGTCTCTGGTGTGGACGGTTCACACCACTATGTTGAGGTAGTGTGCACTGAAAAAAGTACTGCACTTTTTCCAGCACACCGCACGTCAACTGATAGAACTTTTCAATAAAGCGCTGAGCAAACTGTTGCCGCTATATAAATCCTGTATAATAATAATAAAGTTTGTTTTAAAAAAAAAAAAAATGGCAACACTTCAAATCGCCAATTAATGCTGCAGCTGGTGTGAATGCATCTCCCTTATATAATCCTTTACTTCCACTTTAAATTACCTAATAGATTCTTATGCCTCTTAGGGTGTCAAGTTAGGAGTTTTCTATACTCGAGTTTCAGAGGTCTGCCTACTTTCTTCAGTAATTACAAGGAAAACAAATGTACACATTGAATTGTTTATTTTATACTATAGAGAATACACAATGGGTGTGAATACCTTTTAAACAAATATTTTCAAAAATGTTGTTGGTGTCAGTTGCAGTAAAGGTACAGGAGTGTGGAAATGTTTTAAAAAACTACTTGTCCAGGGACTAAATCAGTGTCACAATCTACTTGTCCCTCATGAAAATCTACTTGTCCTGATAAAAAATAAATACATTTTAACCAGAACTGTATTTAAATCTGCTTTAAGTAATATCTGGGGCTTTTAAAAACAAAAAGGGCTTTATGGTGACATAAACAGCGCAATGTTATGAATATTAAATGTTTTTATCCTCCTCCCCTCCCTGCCTGTCTCCAGCACCGCACCTGGGGACTAGCAGAGAGGGGAGACACCTTTCAGTGCAATGAGCACAAATTAGAAGCTTGTCAGGAAAGGGGAGTGTTGGGCTTTTCCTTTATCCCTTTTGCTGCCAGAGCCGTTTTTGTGTTTTTTGCACATGTTTAAAAAATAATTTAAGGCCTGAAGATTACACAAAACTCCAAAACATTATATATTTTCTGAAATCAGAGAAACTAGAGTAGGGGTATTGAATTCAAATTCAAGGAGGTCCGGTCACTAAAATTTTCTTCTGGCCGAGGTCCGAATAGGCTGTGCTCCTTTGCATCAGTTGTCCCCACTTTACATCAGGTATCTGATGTCATGTTGCCGTGACGACCGCCCTGCTCAGCGGCTGATCTGTCATTGCGGGCTGGTGGTCCGGACGGCAGCGTTGCTGGGGCCATTCGCGGACTGCAGTCCGCCATTTAATGACTGCTGCCCTAGAGAAAACAAGAGCGCTAGGTGCAATTTTTTATGCCACACGATATTATCACGTTTCAGTCAAAAATATTATCCAATTTTGTTTTAAAATATAAAAGACAAGGTTGCACTGAGTAAATAGATATCCAACATGTCAAACCTTAAATTTGCGTGCGCTCATGAAATGGCAGCGAACTTTAGTACTCTATATTTTCTATAGGTGACACTTGTAAAGCCCCTTATAGGTCATCAGTTTAGCGTTACGGAGGAGGTCTGGTGCTAGAATTATTACTCTCATTCTGTCGTGCGCAGTGATATGTAACATGTGTATTGCGTTTTTATGCGTAGGCGCCCCAAAGCGTGCATTTATGTTGGTACGTGCGTACACATATGGGGGGTTGGGGGCCTTGAAAAGTTTGGGGGAGGGGTTATATGCTTGGGTGTAACTTACATTTTTTAAAAATAAAAAATGTTATTTAACTTTTTTTTTTTAATCACATAGGAGACAAAAAGTCTATATGTGATGATTTTTGGTGACAGGTTCTCTTTTTTTGAGACATCGCATGTCTCCCCTGTTCTCTTCTGAATGTAATACAGTGCACATCGCACTGCATTACATTCTTTCCCAGCCTTGATCCTGTCAACGGGGGCCTGGAAGTGATGGACATGAAGGGGAAGGAAGCGCATCTGCTCAACGCCGGCAGGCACCGAACTGGTCCAGGGCCCGCAGATGGGCAAGCGGAGCCCCGGACATGCAGGCAGAGGGGGAGAAGCTGTGTGGGCTGTGTAGAAGCAATCGGCAGCAGCGCTGCCGCCCGAAGCTTCCACCTGACAGGTAAGCCCTGCTGCTTGCCCACAGTAGGGCTAAGGGTAAAAAAAAAACTACCTGCCTGGCTCCCGAAACTACATGTCCTGGGCGCCGGGTGATATGAATTGAGCATCCCTGAGGTATCTCCCAGCATCAGTGTCAGTGGCACAATGATAACCCGTGGTGCAAAAATAATCCCCAGCATGTGTCAGTGGACGGGCATGTGTTTGCAACCCCAATATTAACTTTACGTATTGGTGTAAATGGTAATACTGTTAAACCCAACCCCCCCAGATGTTGTGACCAAAATTATTCAACCCCCAATGCTGTAAGGGGTTTAGGGACTATAGTGTACATTTGGAATTGTATTCAGAATCAAATACAAGGACAACTACCCAAATGGACATCAATTGTTTATGGTAGTAAATGGTTCTTATGTGGTTTCTTCATTGCCACAATTATTCAACCCCTTAAAGGAAGAACACTACAGGTGCTTTCCATCAGGTATTGAAAACACCTGTGGATGTCACCGAAGCAGCAATCAAGCATAATAAGCACCAATTAGGCAGCTTTAAAATGACTGTGATACTCAGCTCCTTCTAGAATTTACTGCTGGTGAAGGCCCAGGAAGACCTGATTTCTCTTCACAGGAAGGGCAATGGCTATAAGCCATACTGGAAGCTGCTTGCCCACAGTAGGGCTAAGGGTAACTACCCAATGGAAGGGCTAAAATGGCTATAGAAGATTGTTTAACATAAAAAAAAAACTACCTGAAGCGTGAGTGGAGAGAAGTCCTGTGACTGCTCGAAAAAAGATTTGTCAGATGTGGGTACATGCCCAGACAATAAGACGCACACTGCGTAATGAAGGCCTCCGTGCCAGAACTCCCAGGCGTACCCCCTTGATCTCCAAAGAATAAGAAGAGTCGACTGCAGTATGAGCATGTGGACAAACCACAAAAGTTGTGGGATAGTGTTCTGTGGACTGATGAAACAAAATTAGAACTGTTTGGGCCCATGGATCAACGTATGTTTGGAGGAGGAAGAACAAGGCCTATGATGAAAAGAACACCTTGCACTGTGAAGCATGGTGGATCAATCATGCTTTGGGGCTGTTTTGCTTCTGCAGGTACAGGGAAGCTTCAGCGTGTGCAAGGTACCATGAATTCTCTTCAGTACCAGGAGATATTGGATGGAAACGTGATGCAGTCCGTCACACACCTGAGGCTTGGGAGACGTTGGACCTTTCAACAGGACAATGATCCCAAGCATACCCCAAGTCCATAGAGCATGGTTGCAGAGGAAAGGCTGGAACATTTTGGAGTGGCCATCGCAGTCACCAGACTTAAATCCGATTTAACCTCTGGTGGGACTTAAAGAAAGCAGTTGCAGTGCGCAAGCCTAAGAATGTGACTGAACTGGAGGCCTTTGTGAAGAATGGGCGAAGATACCCGTAATCGCTGCAAGACACTTGTGTCAAGCTATGCTTCACGTTTAAAAGCTGTTATAACTGTACTAAGTACTAAGATTGAATGTCACTTGGGGTTGAATAAAAACTGATAATGCTGTGACACAGAAAAGACATTTGTGGTTATTTCATTATAACTGTTATGTTATATTTGTCTGACCTACAAGTGCCTCTTTAATGTAAATGTAGCAAGATGACAATGATCAAAAGCAATGTCAAACTGGCCAAAACACTCAATTTCAGGGGGGTATAGTGGTTGTTGTAGATCAAGTGCCTTATAGTGTGGCCTTATACACTTTACAATCTGATTGTACAATCTCCTTTATTATAACTATCAACTCTCTAGTGTCTGAGTTAATACTAATTTAATGGAGTATGTAGGTTTATCTTCATGTTACATTGTTCTGGTAAAGCTAAAGGAGATTATATAGCGATAGTACAATCAGATTGTATAGTGTATCACCTTTAAGACTGGTGTAGCCTGTCTTCAGTCTATTGTAGAACATGTTCAGCTCCAGTTCTCAAATCATTATTTGGACCAGTGTATTAAATGTTTCCACGACCCTTCCACCTCTTCATTGAATAAAATGTAAATTTTTTGCAATTTGGCCATTCTTGGTGAACTCGCACTTCCCCATCCTAGTTGGTTAAAAATGGAAAGGCAGCTGCAGGAAACCACTAAACATATTTCACCTGTGGAATAAGCTTGTTGGCTAAGCTAAAACAAGAGAGCCATTTTAACACTCTGCAAGGAAACATCTGGATATAAGAGCACATTGCCAAGCCACAGGCTTAGAAATAAAGTCCACTGCTCTTATGCTACTGCAAGAACACTTAAAAGTGATTATTTTAGTTACCTATTTGTGCTTTTCTACTTCTGCACAGTGAACCAATATGCAGCTGATTCAAATTTGAAGCTATTGTTTTGAAAAATAATTTAATTTTAGAAAAATAGAATCTGGAAAGGACTGCACACTGTATCTACTTGCCATGTAGTTAGAGGTCATTAACTTGTGCCATGGTATCAGCAATTTTGAAAGAGTTTACAAACTTGGGCTTTCTCCCCCTTGGCCTATCTTTTCACTTTACTTAATAACTTTATTACTAAAGCGATATACAGTAGTGCTGGACAGGGTTCAACATTTATGTACCTTTTGTTTTTTAGCCTTGTGATGAAGATTCAGCCAGCCCCTGTGTGCCAATGTCAGATATATTGGAAGAAGAAAATCTTGCCAAAGAAGAGTTAGATCAGCAATTTCATAATTTAATGAAAGGTGAGGAATGTACAATAATTCTTAATATTCTTTGTAATAATAACAACCCATAAATATCTCTACTTTTAGGTATCTGACCTTTTCTTTGTACTGAGACTTCACTTTCCTGAGCCATAAACATAGCTTATCTCAAAAATGAAAATCACATAAGGTCTCACCTTGACAAATCAAAATCAATAGAGGAAGCCATTGTGTTTTGGACAAAAATATATGTACTGTATACAGCACTTCTTCTGTCTTAAAAATCCAATCACTTTTTAAGGTCTATGCCCAGACTACCAAGACACTTGTATCAACTTGGATGTGTAGCCAAAAAACGACAAGGCCCCAGTGCCAATCTTAAAACAGCCCACTCCTGTATCACCATAAGTTCTGTCAGATGAACTCTACCTAAAACTATACAAAGTGTACCTTTAATGAGATCAAAGGAAAAAAACTAAAAGCAGGAGGTAAAAGCAAGTACCAAGAATTGCCGGGTTTCACTAATTTATTCTCCTGAGTTCTCTGGAAGATCCCAAACCCAGGATTCTTAACATGTTAACTTCAGCTTCGAAATTACACCCAGTGGTGTATTTATTCCTTGTGCTGTCCTAGTCAACAAAAAATCTGGCACCCCCACCAACATCCGCAACCCAATCAACCCCCGGCACCACCAGCTTCTGCCACCAGCACACCCCAACAACCCCCTGCTCGCGGTAAATAGGCTGCTGATGCCACCTACTTGTGGGGACGATGAGGGGCTGGTCTGTTAGATATGAAGTCTCAGAACATTGCAGTGAAGGAGACAGTAGGGTAAAGCTCTGATCTCTGACCTCAGAGAAGCTGGTACCATTCTGAGCCATTTTGGCACATACATACCCAAGGAAAATGTTTGAAAACACTATTGACACCTAAGATTTTCAAAGGTAAATACAAAAAGGTGAAACTAATATTCTTGATTATAATAATAATTATTATTACTTGTTGTTGGGCTCCCAATACTGATTACACAAAGTTGATCAGCTATCCGATTTTATGATTTTTCACACTTTATCATTATTTTAAATACCACATAGAATATTATAAGGGAATTTTATTTTCTATGTTTTTTACATTTTTTTAAATATTTGTCTCATTGTTCTTTTCTGCTTAGTTGAATGTCATCAGGATTATGTCTTGAGTTCTGCTGACGAGTCAGAAAAATCAATGTGCCAATATAAAGCGGATGCCGATGCCAGCAGCACAAAGTTTATAAGTTACAGCCAGGTATTGTATGTTGCACTTGTGTGGCAGGAAATTGTCTGCTACAAATCACTTTCAAAGGGTCCGTGCATTGTCTGTTATTCATTTAAATCAATTACATATGTTAAAGAGTAACTCCATTTTTGTTGAGAAAAAAATACTCCACTCTGGGTGTCTATGTACATTGCAAGGATTTTAACAAACTTTGTTTCAGATTCCTACCTTTTGGTATTCTGAAGAAATAGCTGTTTGTCTGTGCCCATGTGAATCTTTATGGGACTGGCTTCATAATTATCTATCAGCTGCTTTACCTGTAGGGCTATAATGAGAAAAACTGCAGGGTTTGCATACCTTTAGACGGGATTTATTTTTGAGTGTATCTCACCAAAAATGAAATTTTTGTTACAAGGAATGCTCAAAATCTGACTTAATACAGACTTCTGGGAAAATCAGTAAGTCAATCACACAAGCACGAAATTACATCTGGCAGCCATATTGCATTACATGTTACAGAAAATTACAAAGGGAAACATAATTTTTAATAACATTAAATTACAATATGACTTGTGTCGCAATTGTGTTCGCTATATTACTATTTTTTTTTTGCTAATTTTTTTCCCTACGAAAGGAGAGTTACCCTTTAATATTATCTGTGGTCATCCATAGAACATTTAAATTGAGAAGAATATTTAGAGGGCTATAGAAAGACAGTATACTGTTGAAACCTTAAAATATCAGGTTATGCTGTACATTTACACTGCTCAAAAAAATTAAAGGAACACTTTGAAAACACATCAGTTCTCAATGGGGAAAAATATCACGTTGGATATCTATACTGATTTGAACAGGGTAATGTGTTAGGAACATAAGGATGCAAGTGTGCAATCCAAACGCACACGTTCCTGCGTTAAAAATGGCTGTGTGTATAAGTGGGTGCTGCAGCGACCGTCGGCTGGAACCAAACAGAATCAGCAAGGGAGAATGTCACCAGCACACCGAGGATCACCAATATGGGTCCAAAAGTTTTAATGAACAATCACATAGTTACAGCAAGGCAACGTTTCGGAGTCTCGCAGGACCCCTTCATCAGGCATGTGGTCACATACCTGATTAAGGGGTCCTGCGAGACTCCGAAACGTTGCCTTGCTGTAACTATGTGATCGTTCATTAAAACTTTTGGATCCATATTGGTGATCCTCGGTGTGCTAGGAACATAAGGATGCCCCATCGTTTGATGGTAATTAAAATTATCAACCTAGAGAGGACTGAATTCAAAGACACCCAAAAACCAAGGTGAAAAAATGATGCAGTAGGCTAGTCCATTTTGCTGAAATTTCATTGCAGCAACTAAAAATGGTACTTAGTAGTTTGTATGGCCCCCACGTGCTTATATGCATGCCACCTGATCACTACTGCCATCTTCAATGTAACGTGTACTGAGTGAACATGTTGGCTGCTTTTGGTGACTTCTTCTAAAATGCTAGTTGTTTGCTTTCCATGCTGGTCTAATAGTTTCAATACATTTTGTATCTTTAATATGAAACTAGTATACCAATAAGGAATTTGACTTTTCTTTTACTTCAATTCCAGCCACGGAGCTCCTTTCCTTTAGTATCAAAGCTTGGTATCTGTACAGCTTCAGAAAAGATGCCAATTTGTCCTTCTACAGTACTCTGCATTGCCCATCTCCACTCTCTTGGATGGCAGAAGCCATGATGGTACCCCTTCACAAGATAATCAGTGTTACTCATTTCTTCTGCTAGTGGTCATAATGTTATGGTTGATAGGTGTATATAAACATAAATGGTAACGGATAAATGGTGTGAACCTTTTCATTTCACTGAGTCACAAAGTAACCACTGTGGTTCACAAGACAAACCTTTTGCTTCAAGATTATTTATAGCATAGAACACATACAGTGTATATGTTACTTATTAGCTGTTTAACTTATGAACTAATTTACCTTGCAATGTTTTAAATTTTTGAGTCTGACTTCCATCTGATCTGAAGTATCTATATAGCTTTTTGTTTTCCACTCTTCTGCCTAATAGTTTTGCCTAGGTTCTGCCCAATTTCCTGAAGAAAAAAAATTGCCTGCATGTGCATTTGAAAATTGATGCAGTAACATGCTATTACTGCATGCACAGTTGTAAATGATCTATAAAAGCAAAATGTCTGCATTTGAATGCTGTGTAACTACTTTTGTTAGTAAAATTCTTGATGTACAAAATGAAGTTATGCTACTGTAATAGCATGGCGATAACTGCAAAGCTTATGTCACACTGGCAGTTTTCTTGGTAGCAACACCCTATAAGTGGTTGATCCACTGTGGCTCAAAAAGCACTCTACCTAATGGATATTGTTACCTTGCTGCCTGACATGCTGCAGAATCTCAATCGGTAGGAAAAAAGCAGCAGATAAGCAACTATAAAACAACTCACTAGTACACCTAGCAAGGCAGCAGTCACACCTAACACCATGCTTGTGACCTGGAAATGTTTGGATGAAATAAGAAATTGAGTTCAGATAGTTAATTTACCCCAAGCATGCCCACTGTACTCCCCTTGCTGTCCTCACACCTGTATTTAACATAAAGTGACAACACTGAATAAAAGACAAAAATTCTTACCGAGAAAAATTCTGTTCACAGTTGATATTATGTGAGTGTTTCTTTCTTTGCTGAGTGAGTTGTGTTTTATAGGTACTTTTGGCTGAGATTTTAGAAAAATACACATACACATACAGTATATATTGATCAAAATTTCTCCAGCCATATCATATTGACTAATGCTTCTTTTCTAACTTCAGTCAAAAGCAGCTGAATTTGACGAACCTCTACAAATACAGGAAGAAACACCATGGTGTACACAAAACAGGTAATTATAAATCATGAAATTTAAAACAGACCCAAAGTTAAATAACATTCTTCATCCTCAATATACCCCTTGTTATTTAAAGTCAGATATGCTTAAATAACACAATTTGGTTGTATGAAAACTCTAGAACAGTTCATGTATGTTTCATTCCTGTCGATCAATGTATCTGTTTTCGACTGATTCTCTGCTATTATCTTTTCTATAATAAAATTCTTTGTAAAAGAAAACTCTAGAACAGAAATCACTAGTTAAAGCATACAATATCAGGTTGTTTGTACTTCCCTTTTAATGACTGTAAAAAACGGCATTAGTATTTGTATAGCTAATGTTGCAAATCATTTCATATCAAAATATAACAGGAAATAAATAAGAAAAAGGTTGATTCATGCATTATGCCAAAAGGATATCCTCAAAATCTCACAAAAGCATGGCATTTGGATTCATTTACTAATGATTTTTCTCTCTTGGAAAGTGTATACATATGTAATTCTCCAGTGTATTCTGCAGCCCATAGAGATTGCTGTGTGTGTTTAGAGGCTCGCGAGCATGGAGTTTGTGACAAAAATGATTTGGGTCCCTAACAGCCATGTACCAACAAGAATAGGAAAAAGGAGCTCAATAGTGCAGGTGAGAATAGAAAAAGATTGGACAAAGGGGGAAGGTGCGGGATGGAGGAAGAAGAAAAGAGGGTGTATTTGGCCTCGCCAAAGCACCCACTTATAGAATTCAATGGTGCTTTTTCTTCAGAGGGAAAGCAGGAAGAGTTCAGGGTTCATGTGGCGGATGTAGTCCAGCCAGGGAGACCATGTTTTAAAGTGATACTAAAGCATTTCTTATTTTTAAGAAAGAAAAAAAGCACTTGCTACACTTACCTGCTCTGTGCAGTGGTTTTGCACAGAGGAGCCTGGATCCTCCTCTTCTCAGGTCCCCTGCAGGCGCTCCTGGCCCTTCCCTCCTGTCAGATGCCCCCATAGAAAACCGCTTGCTATGGGATACCCAAGCAGGTACACTCCTGAACCGCGGCTCTGCGAGTCCTTTCACACACAGAACCGAGGCTTGCCCCCTCCTTCCAAATCAGCTCACTGGCTGTGATTGACGGCAGTGGGAGCCAATGGCTAACGCTGCTGCCTCAGCCAATCGGGAGTGAGAGTCCCCGGAGAACCGAGGCTCTCGAGGACATCGCTTGATCAAGAGGGGGCCCAGGTAAGTGTTAAGGGAGTCTGGGTAGCTGTTACACATAGTAGGTTTTTTACCTTCATGCATTCTTTAAACCTTGAGACTATAGAACCACTTTAACCACTTGCCTACAGGGCACTTATACCCCCTTCTTTACCAGGACAATTTTCAGCTTTCAGCGCTGTGGCACATTGATTGACAATTGCGCGGTCATGCAAGATTGTACCCATATGAAATTTTTATAATTTTTTTCTCACAAACAGAGCTTTCTTTTGGTGGTATTTAATTGCTGCTGGGCACTTTACTTTTTGCGCTATAAACAAAAAAATTGCAAAAAATTTGAAAAAAAAAGTTTCTTTGTTTCTATTATAAAATTTTTCAAACAGGTAATTTTTCTCCTTCACTGATGTGCGTTGATGAGGCAGCACTGATGGGCACTAATAGGCGGCACTGATGGGCACTGATAGGCGGCACTGATGGGCACTGATAGGCGGCACTGATGGGCACTGATAGGCAGCACTGATGGCCACTGGTAGGCAGCACTGATGGCCACTGGTAGGCAGCACTGATAGGCAGCATTAATGAGGTGGCACGGATAGGAGGGCACTGATGGGCGGCACGAAAGAGGTGTCATAAATAGGCGGCACTGATAGATGGCACTGACTGGCATCACTGCTGGGCACTGACTGGCGGCACTGCTAGGCATTGACTGGCACAACCGCTGGGCACTGACTGGCAGCACTGCTGGGCTGCACTGATGGCCACTGGTGGGTGGGCAGAGGTGGGTGGCACTGCTGGGCACAGGTAGGTGGCATTTCTGGGCACAGGTGTGTGGCACTGCTGGGTGGCACAGGTGGGTGCACTGCTGGACACAGGAGGGTGCACTGCTGGCACAGGTGGGTGCACTGTTGGGCACAGGTGGGCACGCTGCTGGGCACAGGTGGGCGGAACTGGTGGGTGGCACTGCTGGGCACCGATCATCAGGGCACTGATCATCCCTGCTCTGACAACTGCTGGTTCTCGGCAGTACTTTTCTCCTCACGCTCTGACAGCGTGAGGAAAGTGCAGCCAAGAACCGGCAATTGCATTTCCCGGTGATCAGCATGTCATTGGACACCGCTGATCACGTGGTAAAAGGCCGCTGTGAATGGCCTTTTACCACATCACGTGATCAACTGTGTCCGTAGGACACAGCGATCACGGAGATCGCTGGGTGCGCGCACCCGGGGCACGCAGGAAGGCGCGTTCTTGGAGGACGTCATATGACGCCCTCCCAGAACTGGCCGGCCGCAGTGTAGCCGTCATTCGGCTATCTGCGGTTGGCAAGTAGTTAAGAAATGTAGAAAAAAATATAGGGAATGAACCTTTAGCGGGCTACAGCAGTTTTCAACCTCTCTATTTGTCCAGATGAGCGTTTATTACATCACAATAAAATGTATGGGTATCACGACACAGGAGGAGAGTGGAAAATTTGTGGAAATCTGTACTGGTGACAACTGTCTAAGCTAAAAAAAATCCTATTTTTTTTTATTGCAGGAGACATAGTTTGGATCAAGAAGAAATTAATTCAGGAATGATAGAACAGTTAAGAGAAGCAGTCGATATGTTACAAGATCCTATAAGGTATTCCTGAGCCACTACTAACTTCCTCTAACACATTTCTTTTGAAATAATTTAGAGATGAATGGAACAACACTGCTTTTCATTTACTTATGCATGGAGCAAACACTGCTTCTATAGTCTAACTCTATATAGTATAGTGAAGATATATAAATTGCTCAGCATAGATTTGTACACCCCAACAGATTTGTCAAAAAGTCTTTACTTTCCTTTCGGAATCAACATTTTCTATGGGACACTATACCAAACAAGATTTTGCACACACAAAAAAGTATTTTTCCTAACAAATTCATTTAAGACCATGTTGCAAAAATGAATACACCCCAATGAAAGTCTTAGGAGCAAAGCTATATTTTAGACAGCAAAATCCTAATTAACAAGAATTCAACTACAGGTGAGTGTAATTATTCATTAAACAGGTGTCCAGCAGACAGTTAATTATAAAAGGGCATTACTTAACACGGAAAACCCCTTCCCATTTCATGCTGTCAACAATGTCATTACATGGAAGAGAAATGTCACAAGGCCTGAGAAAGAAAATAATTTCTATACACAAGAAAGGGGAAGGCTACAAGCAGATCAGTAAAGCTTAACTTGTCAGTCAGAATACTGTAGCAAAAGTAATGCAAAAATTTAACAAAGATGGAACTGCAACCTTCTCACAGAGATGTCCAGGCTGTCCACGGGAGTTTACAACTCGACAGGAGTGTCTTCTGATGAGAAGGGTTGAAGAAAATGGCCATGAAAGTTCACTGCAGTTAGCAAAAGAAGTAGAAAGCCAAACTGGGGTGATTGTTTCCCATGACACAATACGGCGTACACTGCAGAGTAATGGCATGCATGGGTGTCGTCCACGAAGGAAGCCTCCAATAGCCAATGCACAAAAAAGCCTGCCTAGAATTTGCCAGAGCCCATGCTGAAAAACAAAATTACTGGGACTCTGTACTCTGGAGTGATGAGACCAAGATAAATGTTTTTGGAACTGATGACTTCAAAACTGTATGGCGTCGCAAATGTGAGGAATACAAAGAAAAATGCATGGTGCCTACAGTGTAACGTGGTGGCGGTGTCCTTCTGTGGGGCTGCATGAGTGCTGCTGGTGTCATGGAGCTGCATTTCATTGATGGTGTCATGAATCCACAGATGTACTGCTCTATATTGAAAGAGAAGTTGCTACCATCACTCCGTGCCCTTGGTCGTCGTGCACTTTTCCAACATGACAATCATCCAAAACACACATCTAAGACCACTTTTAAATTTCTGAGAACAGGGTAAAAGTGATTCAGTTGCTAAGTATGTCTCCTGATGTGAACCCAATCGAATACCTATGGGGAATTCTGAAGAAACAAGTTGAGCACTCTCCATCCAGCATCCAGGCTCTAAAAGAGGTCGTTCTTGAAGAATAGAAAAAGAAAGATGTTGCAATATGTCATCAACTTGTTCATCTCATGCCTAGAAGACTTGGTGCTGTCCTTACAAATAATGGAGGTCATACAAAATACTAGATGTAGTAGATTTAACAAAAGATAGGGGCAGGCGTCCCGTGTGTGTGTGTGTGTATATATATATATATATATTGTATATACAGTCATGGCCAAAAATATTGGTACCCCTGCATTTCTGTCAGATAATGCACCACTTTGACCAGAAAATTGTTGCAGTTACAAATGTTTAGGCATTCTCATGTTTATTTATTTTGTTTGTATTAGTATGACACAAAAAAGTGGAGAAAAAAAAAGCCAAATCTGACACATTCCACCAAAAACTCCAAAAATGGACTGGGCAAAAATCTTGGCAGCTTTTCAAAATTGTAAGAAATAATTGCATTCCAAGTTTGTGATACTCCTGTAATTTGTAATTAAACTCACCTGCATCAATTAACAGGTGCTAACAATATAGAAATCACACTGGCAACCGGCTGAAATTGTGAAAAATTGACTCAACCTTTCTGTTGTGTGTCTCTGTGTGCTGCATGGAAAACCCATGGCACTGTAGCTTATCTCCCTGAACGTGGACGAAAGAGAAAAATTGATCAAAGATTGCAACAGAGGATTGTTTGAATGGTGGCAAAAGAACCTTGATCAACTTCCAGACAAATTCAAGCTGACCTTCAGGCACAGGGTACAACTGTGTCAGCTCACACTGTACGTCGTCATCTGAATGAAAAGGGACGCTATGGTAGGAGACCCAGGAGGACCTCACTGCTGACACAGAAACATAAACAAGCCAGATTGGAGTTTGCCAAAACTTACCTAGGCCAAAATCCTTCGGAGAATGTGCTGTGGACAGACGAAACAATATTACAGCTATTTAGTAAAGCCCATCATTCTACTGTTTGCAGAAAAAGCAATGAGATCTTTAAAGAAAAGAATACAGTCCCTACAGTCAAACATGGTGGAGGTTCACTGATGGTTTGGGGGTGGTCTTCTGCTTCAGGCACTGGATGTCTTGACTGTGTGCATGGCATTACGAAATCTGAAGACTACTAAAGAATTCTGGGGTGCAATGTAGGGCCCAGTGTCAGAAAGCTGTGTATCCGTCAGAGGTCATGGGTCTTGCAGCAGGACAATGAACCAAAGCACACGTCAAAAAGCACCCAGAAATGGTTTAAGATGAAGTGCTGGAGAGTACTGAACTGGCCAGCAATGTGTCCAGATCTAAATCCCATAGAGCACCTGTGGAGAGATCTCAAACAACAGTTGGGAAAAGGAACTCTTTGAATTTGAAACACCTGGAGCAGTTGGACGAAAGAAGAGTGGTCAAAATTTCCAGTAGAGATGTGTAAGAAACTCATTGATGGTTACAGCAAGCGAATGATTTCAGTTATTTTTTTCCATGTGGTGCGCTACCAAATATTAAATTGAGGGTGCCAATAATTTTGTCCAGTCTATTTTTGTAATTTTATATAATATGTCAGATTTGGCTTTTTCACTTTTTTGTGTCATACCAATACAAACAAAAGAAATAAACATGAAGATGCCTAAATATTTGTAATTGCAACAGTTTTCTGGGCAAAGCAGTGCATTATCTGAAATGCAGGGGTGCCAATATTTTTGGCCATGACTGTAAGGTTATACATAGTATCTAAACAGAATCGCTTTTTGTTACTAATGCAAGGAAGCTTGCTTAACTGCTCCTCTACCACCCTATAGCAGAAATACTGCATAACACAGCCATCCAAAGCAGTGTGCTTGCAGTGAAGCACACAGACACCGCCCCATAGTAAAACACACCCAGCACACAGTTAACCCTTTGATTGCCCTTCGTTAACCCCTTCCTGTCAAGTGCCATTAGTTACAATGTCAGTGCTTTTTTTTTTTAGAACTGATCACTGTATTGGTGTCACTGGGAATGTCAGTGACACTAAGTCAGTTCCCCCCAGTGTCAGAATGTCCACTGCAGTCCCGCTATAAGTCGCTGATCACCGCCATTACTAGTAAAAATAAAACAAAAACCCAGTATATATACCACCATTTCTAAACACTATAACTTTCACATAAACCAATTAATTTACATGTATTGGGATTTTTTTTTTTTTTTAGCAAAGACATGTAGCAGAATACATTTTGGCATAAATTTAACAAAATTTGATTTTTACATTTTTTTTTACTGGACACGTTTAAATAGCAAAAAGTCAAAAATATTGTTTTTTTCTGTCATTTTGTTTAATAGTGCAAACAATAAAAATACACAGCTGATCAAAACCACCAAAAGAAAGCTCAATTAAATTTCATGGGTGCGTTGCATGACCGCGCAATTGTCAGTCAAAGTAACACAGCGCTGTAATGCAAAAAATGGCCTGGTCAGGAAGGGGGGTAAATCCTCAGGAGGGCAAGTGGTTAAAGTAGAACTTTACCCATAACAGTTTGATAACAATTAATGTTCTTTACCAAAGACCATACATTCTACAATAATAATTATGCTACCAAACCTAGTGTGTGTTGTAAATTGTCTCCAGCATTGTTCATGTTTCTTCTTGCAGGAGGCTGCTATTTTGTTGAAGCCCAGAGCAGTCACTTCCTTATTTGAAACTTTCTCCCTCTCCATGGTCTCAAAATCTATATGTCACTTCAATTAAAATATGTACATTTCTAGCCTTGATTGTATGTCTTGGCTTAGCTGGAAAGGAAGGCTGACAGAAGCTTTACAGTGCTGAACTTCACAGGCTGCCTAGGAGGGAGAAAGGAGGGAGAATCAGGGAGATAAGATAAGACACTATCCTTGAAAGTTTAACTCTTTGTGTCTTCCTGGCAACAGAGTTTGTCCTGTCATCTCCCCCGTTTTTCTTTTCTCCCTCCCTCCCTAATCCCTAATCTTTGTTCCCTTAGCACAGTTTGTGTCATTCCTGTTGCTTTCACAATGTCGAGAATAGAGAGCAACTGAGCATGTACAGAGCAGAGTGAGACAGTGCATTACTAGATTTTAAACAGTATAGGCATGTTTGTTTAATGTTTTACATGCCTGCACCTGCAAAAGAAGCCAACTTGAAGTGATCAATCAGAACTTAATTTTCTGACCAAAATTCCACTTTAATGGTAAGGCCCACATCCTGGTTGTTATAGACTATTCACATTTGGCTGCACACTGGCCTGTTTCTTTAAGGGTTTCACAATTCTGTCAGTCATGCCATCATGTGTATATATAGAGATGCTAAATATTTATATTAATGTGCTTTAGTCTAATAGGAATGTTGTGTAAAAGTGTAAGAGGTAAAATAAGGCTGTATAGCTACATAACCATTATTTTTCTTTCATTTGTAAGCATGCACTAGAAAATGACTGAATGCTATGGGCAATTATCAAATGTACATTTCTTCACCATTGTAGAACACTTAGGCTGGATTGCCTTTTTATTTTCCAGATTAAGAATGGAAATTGAAGACAATACTGAATTGTTTAATGCACAGACTTCTCCATCTGATCCAAACAGATCTACAGTAAAGTGTGTTTATCTACCATAGTAAAATATATTACATGCACACTTGAGGCACATCTCCCAGCTAATTGCCTAATGGACTTTTATTTGTCTCTTACAGTGGCCAAGTGGAGTTACAGATGTCTCCAATATTGCAGGTACTAATTTAAATGTCCCATAAAATGTTGCATAGCATGTTGCTAACTTTAACAATAGTAACATAGTCCTGGATAAGCCTATAAAACAAAGCAAGTTATTACCCATATTGCAGAACTCTCCAGGTTTGATATTCTTGTGTTTTTAAGTTCTCCAGCAGGCAGGAAAGAGATTTTTACTAAATATTTACTTTTAACATGCTAACCCTTTAAATTTGCTTTCAATGATAGAATGACAGTCTGAATGAGAATGAAGAATGTCATAGCTCCGAGGAAGAGGTGGGTTATATGCGCAAGCTTAAATTTGTAAATGCATAGCACAATGATTTATATGTCCTTTAGATTGCTCTTGGTTTATTTACAAGTATAATTTTTCCCATTAAGAGTTTGTTTTGTATTTTTCATTTTAAGGATTTTATTAATTTGTTTGCATTGCGTTGCCATTCATTTTAAATGATATCCTAATTCATTGTTAAAGTAGCAGCCAATACAACCGCGCTATGCTGCTAATGAGTGCAGGGGAAGATCACAGGAATTGATTTCAGCCCCTCTTCTTAGTGCTGGACTGTAGCTGTCACTGACAGCGGATGTTTCCAGAGCTAAAGCACACCAAAGCTTCGGTCACTCAACATGCAGCTTGCTGTGCACCAGAGCTGATTAGAGGTCTGTAGGACAGTGGGCCATAACAACTGGTTTGCTGGCATATGGGCTGTTTTAGGCATTTTTCAATATACATACTGTACCTGTGTGTGTATATATAGATATATTTGTTTTTCAGCTATTTTTGGAATCTTCTTACTAGCAATTGTTTACATACCCAAATATGAACAGATAAATATAAATGATCACGTTAAGGGTAATTTAAGTAACAAACTATTTACGTAATTATTACTACATAGACCTCCATCAGATAATTCTTAGCAGCAAGACGCAGTCAGTACTCTTGCACAGACACTCCATGAACTGTGTCTAAAAGGTGCCCAAAGCCTGCACAGCAAATCTGTATGCCCCACACCCTACCATGACTTGTTAAGTCAATCACTGGGCAGCCCTTCTGTATAATGTTAGGGGTAGGGGCAGCTTATTTTATAAGTGAAAGTTGACAGGTGTACTCTAAATCTGTGTTTCTCAATCTTTTTTCAATCAAAGCACCCTTTAGAATTTTGCACAAACTTGGGGCACATCTGCCTGAGGGCTTGTTCACATCAGAAGGTGCTTCTGAGCATGCATGCTTTTTTGTGCATTCCCATTCGTCATGTTTTTAAATGGGTTACTCTGTAATATTTAAAAAGGTTGCAGCATGATTTTTAAAATCATGCTGCACCAAAACACATGGTACTGCTCTACCATGCTTTTTAGCGGGTGCTAACACATATGCATTTGCTAGATTCATGGGGGTGCCATGAAGAATTAATGGCATCTGCATGCTTCTGCAAAAGGTAGTGAATTTTTTTTTTGTGTTGCAGGAAAACACATGATTTCACACATTACCGCACTGCACCTGCTGTAAGCAAACCCTAAAATGTAGTTTGTGAGGCAAAGTTCAGAGGTTGTAAATCCTCTCTTTTCCACTCCTCAAATACCTCCTCCTAGCACATATTTCTTTGAGTTGCCGACAGGAGTGGTGACAGCAGCAGAGAAGTGGAGAGAGCTGGGAGGAGGTGCAGGCTGTGCTCTCTCCCTCCTGTCTACACACAGGATTAACACAGAATGCTCTCCGATCAGACTGTAAAGGGTTGAGGCAGTTTTTTTGTTCTTTTTCCGTGACACCCCCGGGTGCCACAGTATCCTGGTTGAGAAACAATATTCTAAATTAAATCTCTTTTCTGCCAGCTACACAAGCTAATTTGTAATTTGTCCATCTGTAGTCAGCCAAACTATTTAACATTGTATGTAAAACCTGTATGTAAAACTACTGTGTTTGTAGAAGGCATTTTTAAGTGTCCTCTCTGCCTCTGGTCGTGTAAATGGTTTGCTGCCTTTCAAAATCTGTATTGCATCCCCAAATTTCCTTAGATTTACAGCATTGGGAGTTTTGTTATTTGGTGAGTGCCATTTAAGTGGCAGTGCTTTTATTACAATGCACGGGTTTTGGTCATGTGGCTATAGTTAGAACTTAGCACACATTTTTACATATTTCAGTTAGTGCGCTTATACAGAACAGATGCTCAGGAATAAGGTTTTCTAAATTCCTTTCAGTGTGTTATTTATTGTCACCTTTACAAGGCACTTTAAAGATAATACTTGCAGGCACTTATGATTTAATGTCCCCATCAACATTTTTTTCATGAAAGAGCATGAGGAATATTTTATCAGTTATTTAAATACAGTACATTATAAAACACAACTCGTATATGTACTGCCAACACCTAGTGAACACTTGCCCAAATATTAGATTTAAGGGAATAGCTGTTAAAATATGGTCTTCTAACTTTTGTGAAAGTTTGTGTTTTTGACTTCTGACTTAAGATATCCTTGAAAACAATCAAAAACATTAAAGCACATATACTGTGAACCAATGCCACAATTACGGGCGCTGCTCGAAGCTCCAACAGATCCTCTTCTGTGACCATCTGCTGGGAGTGCAGGCAAGGACGAAGCTCGCCCCAACTCCAAATGTCAATATCGGGGAAAATGATAAGTCCTGCAAGCCGCACATCACTGCAAGACCCTGTGGGCAAGTATGTAACAGCCTCAGCCCATGCTCCAAAAAGGCCACCCCCCCCCCCCCCAGCAATCCTCATGACTGAGTTAATCGATGGCCTGTTTGGAGCCCGGGCCAAGGCTGTTACATATTTACACACAGGGTCTTGATGTGTGGCTTACATGACTAATGTTTTTCCCTACATTTAAGCACATCAAGACATATTTAAAGTGTATGTCTTGGCAAAATATAAAAATACATATTTATTATATCTCTGCTATACAAATTCCCCATGTTTTGGCTCTTTAAAAGCACTGCAAGTACAGAAAAATACCTCTTAAGCCTTCCAGAAATCCAGAAATTCCTTTAGTGAACTGATAATGTTGCCTCTGCTGCAGTGAAATCCAAAACCAGCGTCATTAGCCCAGTCAATTCTTCTCTTCTGGACTACTATTATCTCATCTTTTTTTATTATAATTTGTATTTTGTATTTATTTTTTTTTTTTGCCCAGACAGGAATTAAGCAGAAATCCCCCTGATTAGACAAAGATCAAAAAAAAAAAAAAAAATCTAACTTCCCTCAAAACTAAAAAAAAAAAAAAAAAAAAATAATTCTTAGGCTGAAGTTGTACTCTAAAATTGATTTAGCAGACCTGACATCTTTAGCACGGTTCAAATATCTTCATCAAATCATGTATTTGATTGACCTGTCCTGTTGCTTGGAATTGCTTAATTTAATTTAGTTCCAAAATAATACAAAAATAGGTTTAACTGGAGTAAATGTGTATTTCTTTATCTTTGCAGAATGAAAGCAATACTCCTAGCATGTCTCCAGTACACAACTCTGTGGCATTTGGTCTGAAGTCTCGATCTGGTGAGTTCCATAGTATTAGTTCCATAATATTAAAGATACCCATGTACTCCTTATGGTCAAATGTATTTTAATTAGTATGAGTGAACAGTTTAAATAGTATGTAGTCAAATAGCCTCTTCCCACCTATATGCGGCCTCTCGGCAGGTGGGATTTAACACCAAGAGGCTGCATATATGCATCTATTTGTAAACAATTTACTGTGCTGAGGGCGCGCTCACTACGTGCTCCCAGCACAGCAACGGAAATGTAACGGAAAGCTCCCAATGCATACTTGCAATAGGGAGGTTTCTGATCGTGTGACCGCTGTGAAGGCCAATCAAAGTGGTCACATGATTGGAATGCCTGTCTCTGCCTCCCGACATTTTGATCCAGTTAAAGGGCCAGGAGGTGGTGGCGGGAAGGGTTTAATATTGTTTGCATAACCTACAGTCTTACATATACCCAGTGAAGTGACTGGCCTCAGGGGATACACGGAGATGAAACACTTCTTCCTACATATGTGGTACCTGTCTATTTGCATTCTTCTCTTCTCTACATCACTTTAAAGTCCAGAAAAGGGGGGGAGGGGCAGAGAGCTGAAATTACAGTGAGGAGAGCTCTGAGAGTTGATTGGATACAAGGGACACCACACCCCCTTCACACAGCACATAGAAATAGAGCTGAGACTGTCAATCTGCTGAAAGTTCCTCCTTTGTCTCCATTTTTCCTCTTGGTGTCAGGAAAACCTGTCAAAAGTGACTGCATATTACAGAGGAACAGGGCAGCTAACATAAATGACACTTAGTGCTCTGGAGAGAGACAAGTACATACTATAGAAGGATATGCTTTGTTCATATTTCATGTCTGAGGTTTCCAAACACTTTAAGGTTCCCACACAGCCAATACTCATATATGCTATGTTATTTTTGCAGTTGGGGTTAGATAGAGACTCGATGATTTAGCCCTAGCTGCAGGTGAACAGCTTTTTTTTACATTGAATATAGTACGTTGCTGTTTTTCTTTTGTATATAGTGGACTTGGCAGAGACCGGACAGTTCTCAGGATCTTCGCCACCTATGTTTAAATGAATTAGCCTGGACAGCCTAAAGCAGTGTATTTTCTTTTGCACATTACATATAATGGTTCTGAATGCAACAATGAGGAGTTCCCTGGAAATCAGAACTCCTCCAAATTTCTACTATCAGATTTTTCTTGGAAATCATTTTGAATCTTCACTGACATCAAAGCACTTATTGTTGGTGTGTTTGATTGATTCTGCACTGTATAGTTATATAATTTGTAGTATTTCACTGTGTTCTGTGGACTTACTGATCCATAGCATTAAAAAAAAACCCATACATATTCATATACAGAGTGGTGTGGTGTGATGCACCCTAAAGAAAATTCCAGAATACCTGTTTTCAGTGCTTTTAGGGCTTTAAATACTTCAAATGTCTGAATTATATCCTTCTGTGAATGCTTAATTTATTACACTTCAAAAAAACTCACACTACTATGCTTTTGTATAGTGATATGACCTGATGTAGTCATAACAATGAAAGAATGAAAACATGTCATGCTATACTGGTTATTATTGTGTGATAAAGATTTTATAGTAAAAACTCAAAAAACAAACACTATGTAAATGCAAAAAATATGGAAAATATATCCATGTATTCAGAAACAAAAGAGAGAAAAGTAGATGTCAGTAGTTACATGAAAATATCTGATACGTTTGAATAATTTGTTTGGTTTTGTTAGTATTTGACTATATTGATGATGTGGATCCAATATTTCTTTCAATAAGTTTTAACCATTTAATAATGTGATTTTGAATAATCCTTTTGATATGTTTATACAACATTTGTGTTTGATCAGTTAATCATTTTATTTTAAATAGCCTTTTTGATATTTATGTATAGTTGCTTTATTTGCTGTCTAAACCTATATGGCATGTTTGACTAATTCTGAAATGGTTAAATGAAAACCTCTGAAGGACAAAGGGGAGGGAAGAGGAATGCTGATGACTGAAAGTGATTTGCAAGAAAGTAAACCTGTATTTTCTGAGCGATCTTTTTTGTAATATAAATATTGGATGGATTTCTAACAGTACACACTCATAAATAATTTGTGAGTAATTATAGCAAAATTACCAAAATAGTGAGAACTGGCCAATCACTATAAAGTACTTGAAAACCTTAATGATACATATTGTGTGTAAGAACTACTAATATCTTTCTCAGTTTTGAATCTAGAAGTTGGGGTGCATTTAAATAAGCAATTAATACATTTGTTATGTAACCAAAACGTTAAACGTATTACTCTAGTCATATGGCAGTGTTCTTGTTCGTGGTTACAATAGAAAGAAACCTTTATGATTGAAAATGTTGATCCCCAGTATAGCAACTAAAATTAATATCACAGTTCTAATAATTTTTTTCATGTTAATTCATGAAAGTTATTAACACCACTTGTATTCTATTAAAATTAGAAAACAAACGGTATAAAGAAAACCTGATACATTATGGCCCAAGTGGGCCATAATGTGTGCTGAACACTAATGTTAAAAGTTGTGGCATTCATGACCACATAATTGTTGCCATGATATAGAGTAACATTGCATAAATCTATAAAATGTTCCATATGGAATCCAGAATTAATGCTAATATATCCCACAGACTTGTTCAGACGCGTTTCGCAGCCAAATCACCACTTCCTCAGGGACATCGTGAAAGTGTCTAAAATGTTGAAAGCATTCATAATACAAGGCAACATCATAATAAGTAAATGTGAGTAAAAAAGATTTTTTTCATTGATCTAACATGCGGCTTTCCACAATGTTGATATACATCAAGCATGCATGGACCCAAAACTCCAAAGGGACGCCACTGAATGTGATGTATTCGCCAGCCCCTACCAAAATAGGCAAGGGATGGCATTAAAGGCACTTGACCACACAGAGGGAGAGTCGGAGGCCGCAACAGGCCGAACCACCACAGCTGCAAAACAAAAATACCTGTAGAATCCACCCTTACACAGCCAAATAATGCTTACATGTAAAAATTAAGGAGCCATTATCCCTGTGACAACTCGCACCCAACACAAGTTGAGCTGGCAGATACGTCACATGTGGTGGCGTCTTTTTGGAGTTTGGAGGTCCATGCATGCTTGGCATATATTAATATTGCGGTAAGCTGTATGTTACATCAATGAAAAAATAATTTTTACTTACATTTACTCATTATGATATTGCTTTGTATTATGACTGTTTTCAACTTTTTAAATGCTTCTGCGGTGTCCCTGAAGAAGCAGCGATTTGGCTGGGAAGTGTGTTTGATATCTGGATTCCATGTAGAAATGTTTATGGTTTTCTGTGATGTTATTCTATATTATGGTAGCAATTACTGTATGTGCAACCCAATTTTTAATGTTTGTATTGTTTAATAAAAATCTATATTTTTTATGGAACCTAATTGTGTTGCTCTGCCTCAAGTACAAAGCCTTTAAAGTCCTTTTCTCTGGGGTAGGTTTTTTCCTTTCTGTATTGTTTTAAACTGAGCTACTGTTCTCACTGACAACAAATACATTCTCTGTGTATTCCTTTGAAGAATCCAGGGAAGTGGTATAGCATTTCTCTATTCTGCATCATTTAGTGCAAAGGTGCCCTATGGAAAGGCCTAGCCCAGGATACAGTGGACTGCACAAAAACTGTTGGTAGGGCTACGTGTTGGGCTCCAGGCCTGTAGAGCTCTATATGTATTTCTATGTATTTCCATAGAAATACATATAGAGCTCACCTGAGCAAATGACAGTTGTAGATTGGCTAAAACACCAAACAGACAGTGTTACAGCTATGTCAGGGATGTGGGTAGATCTTTCTGCGAGGTCATGGATACTTGTGAATATTCAGGGGGACTGATTCCTCTTCTGCACTTAAATGGAATTGCACTTTCCTCAGAAACCAGATTTTTTTTTTAAATTTAACATATTAATTCATTCTGGTTTATATTTTTATAAATGAGTGTTTTTAATGTTTTTCTTACATACTATGTAGCCCATGTGATTTATTCTGGTCCTCTTTTGCCTTATACGGACCTCCTCTGACACCCCCTCTCCTACAGACCCGTCCCTCACTCTTCCTCCTATCTCCTTCAACAAAATTACACAGGCACAAAATTGGGACAGATATAACAAGGACATGGCACCAGAAGGAGACATTGACAATGGTAGGTTACTAAGGACTGGTATTGTGGGTCTTCAGTTGCATGTCTTATGGGAGAATGTCTCCATGTTCCTTGTTACTGTGTCCATGCAGCACATTGTGTAGTTCTCACCTTATTGTTTTATAACTCTTGCCACCTGCATAATTTTAAATGTGTATATCGTTCTGTATTTTGATGAGCAGGTGATTCCATCTCAGTTTAGGTAAACAGAAACATGTGTTCCAGCTGTTATTGTATTATACTAGACAATAATCACCATATTGGGAAATTAAACCTTAGAAAAACACTAGTATGAACCAGTGTCATGCTTTAGGTCATATTGACTTGTTATGGAATATTATTTGGTCCTTTTATCTGTTGCTGTAAGCCACCAATATTAGATCTACTATTTAAATTTAAATTAGGAGAACAGATAGTGCTGTTGCTCTTTATACAGTATTCATATCATATTTTAAGGTCCAAATCAATTTGACAGCTGTTGTAAAAACTAGACAATCAATCCTACCAAGTCTTACTGTATACATGCTTAAATAAACTGCCCGCATGGTCATTCTAGGGCCATTATAAATTAATGGATTGCATGACTTCTATCAGTATAACCAATCTTTTTTGCTTAAGCTTACAGATGTAAAAGACCAGGGTCAGATCTATACTTCTCGCCCACAGGCCAACCTGCCTTGGGCTGTCCTGTTCTACCCCAGTCAACTGTCTTAGCCTTAAAGCGTATCTAAAATTAAAAGAAAACAATTAATATATTGCAGCTTAACAATCCTCAAATGTGGTGGTGGATATATATATATATATATATATATATATATATATATATATATATATACACAGTGAAGGAAATAAGTATTTGATCCCCTGCTGAGTTTGAATGTTTGCCCACTCACAAAGAAATGATCAGTCTAAAAATCGAATGGCAGGTGTATTGTAACACTGAGAGACAGAATAGCAACAAAAAATTCAAAAGAAATGCATGTCTAACAAATTATACACTTATTTGCATGTTCATGAGGGAAATAAGTATTTGATCCCCTTCACAAAACATGACTTAGTACTTGGTGGCAAATCCCTTGTTGGCAATCACAGAGGTCAGATGTTTCAACGTGTTTACAAGCGTTTTGCATTTGAAACACTGATAAAATCGACTGCTGAACGCAAGTTTTCTGTGTTCAAAAAAACGACTGTAAACTCAACTGCCTGTAAATGACGATGTGTAGATGGACACATAGGAAAACATTAGGGAGAGTTCAGGGGCTGCTAAAAAAAAACGCTGAACAGCTCTTAAACGTGGGTTTATCAGCTACAGTGTACATGAGCCCTTAGTATGGATTTGGCCAAATAACAATTATGCAGTGTGGGAGCTCTAACTTCCCACTGACTCCTTTTGCTGCATGTTTGTTCTAGGTCACAGGTCTCCTTTGCGTACATTGGGAACATTTCATGCACAATCAGATATTCTGGCTTTAAGACTTGTTACTTAATTCCATTCAATCGAATCTCTCAGCAAGCATGCTGGTCATTGTCATTCAGCAGTGCTACCACTAAAAACTTTGGGTACTTATTTATAGTTATTGTATTGAAATAAGGATTAAACCATATTTTGCCAACATTTTTAGCTGTTCTGTTCAAAGTGAGGACATAAAAGAGCTATTAGAGTGACATTAAAACATATACTGTACAAATAAATAGAGCACTGGAAAAATGTTTATTTAAAAACAACATTGTCTATCAGTATATGTAGGAACCAGTAGATAAATATGCTTAGTTAAAATTAAATAATATTTATGTACTGGTGGGAAGAAAACCACGTATAAGTAAATGATTTACATAGCGCATGATAAACTAACACTACTGGCTCAAGCGACATTCTGTTCAAAAGCAACAATGTGTAGCTCTGTGAAATACAAAACTATTTACAGTGCCTTGAAAAAGCATTCATTCCCCTTGAAATTTTCCACATTTTGTCATGTTACAACCAAAAACATATATTGGGATGTGATAGACTAACACAAAGTGGCACATAATTGTGAAGTGGAAGGAAAATGATAAATGGTTTTTGCATTTTTTTTACATATACATATCTGAAAAGTGTGGTGTGCATTTGTGTTCAGCCCTCCAGAGTCAATACTTTGTAGAACCACCTTTCGCTACAATTACAGCTGCAAGTCTTTTTGGGTATGTCTCTACCAGCTTTGCACATTTAGAGAGGGACATTTTTGCCCATTCTTCTTTGCAAAATAGCTCAAGCTCCTTCAAATTGAATGGAGAGCGTCTGCGAACAGCAATTTTCAAGTCTTGCCACAGATTATCAATTGGATTTAGGTCTGGACTTTTAGGCCAAAAAGTAAAATTTTGGTCTCATCTGACTAGAGCACCTTCTTCCACATGTTTGCTGTGTCCCCCGCATGGCTTCTCATAAACTGCAAACGGGACTTCTTATGGCTTGCTTTCAACAATGGCTTTCTTCTCACCACTCTTCCATAAAGGCTATATTTGTGGTGTGCATGACTAATAGTTGTCCTGTGGACAGATTCTCCTACCTGAGATATGGATCTCTGCATCTCCTCCAGAGTTACCATGGGCCTCTTGGCTGCTTCTCTGATTAATGCTTTTCTTGCCCAGCCTGTCAGTTTAGATGGACGGCCATGTTTTGGTAGGTTTGTAGTTGTGCCATTGTGCCATACTCTTTCCATTTTCAGATGATGGATTGAACAGTGTTCCATGAGATGTTCAAAGCTTGGGATATTTTTTTATAACCTAACCCTGCTTTAAACTTCTCCACAACTTTATCTCTTGACCTGTCAGGTGTGTTCCTTGGCCTTCATAATGTGTGTTCACTAATTTTCTCTAATAAACCTCTGAGGGATTTACAGAACAACTGTACTTATACTGAGATTAAATTACACACAGGTGGACTCTATTTACTAGCTATTTGACTTCTGAAGGCAATTGGTTCCACTAGATTTTAGTTAAAGGTGTTTGAGTAAAGGGGGCTGAATACTACTGCACGCCACACTTTTCAAATATTTATTTGTAAAACATTTTGAAAACCATTGTCATTTTCCTTCCACTTCACAACTATGTTCCACATTGTGTTGGTCTATCTCATAAAATTCCAATAAAATACATTTTCCTTTTTAGTTGTAACATGACAAAATGTGGAACATTTCAAGGGGTAGGAATACTTTTTCAAGGCACTGTAATAAAAATATACAGGAAAGCATTACTGTGACAAAGTAATCTGATGAGTTTGCAGTATATATGGTAAAGTTTAGTATAAGAACTAGCATTCAGATTCAGTAACCAAGTGCTGAGCTGTTCTTCACCTTTAATAGCCTCCATGTAGGAAAGCTCTATGTGCTTACACCACACTTGGGTACCCTCAGTTTCTTATGCAGAATATTATAGAACCTGGATAACCTCAACAAAGACCAAACAGAGAAAGTCCACAGAGGTATAAGACATTTTCTGAAGGAAATGGTGACAGTGTCACTTACACAAAGGTGAAAGGTCAATCACAGCATTCAGCTGTGGTGACAAGGGGTTAAGCAGAAAATTGTTGGCTGAAGTCAACAATCAGCAGTACTAGAACCACTAGCAAGTTGTTAGATGGCAATGGTTGTAATACTCGTTGTAGATGAAAGCTACAAATTTAGGCAAGGAGACATTTAGTCAAAGGGAAATGATCAGGATCAGTAGCAAGAAAGTCCAGAAGAAGACTTCTAGTAGAAGCCTAGCTATGCTTAAGGTTACTTTTACACTGTTCCGCGGAAAAAAAAAACATATCTGTTGTTGACTAATTTTTGCTGCTGTGCATTGCGTTTTTTTGTGTGTTTTTGATGCACTTGCATTGCGCTTTCAGCACTGGACAAAGCACTTCACACAGGTGTGTTGTGTTTTTGATGTGCTTTTCATCCATTTTAACGGGGAGGCGTTTTTAGTGCCCTCTTTTTTTAACTGAACAAGCATGCACCAAAACTGCAGTAGGCTGGATTTTTTGTACCGCAACTGAAACACAAAGGATTAATGTGACGAGCACCATAGAAATGAAAGGAATTCAGTTTTCTTCTTCCGCTTTTTTGAACTGAAGTGGATCAGTGTGAAAACAGCTTAGGAATGGGCAATCAGACTTAGTAGTCTGGTGCCTTTACAGACAGGCAGCACTGAGTATCAGACATGTGCACAGCATTCATTTGTACTATAATAGCATGTATCTGCACAGTGAAGCTAAAGGGCACTGTGAAATGGGCCAAGGCATGGTCAGTTGACAGAAGACCAGACTTAGTGCAAGATGAAGTCAGAGTTTCAGAGAGAGCAGAATTAGAGCCACAGTGACCAATTAGCAGATAACGGACCCTCAGCTGACGACAGCTCCACAGATAGGTGACTGCCATGTAAGTGGCTACTATACAATGAAGCAGATCGGTGACAATTTCCTTACATGAGGACCATATTTATATACAGTCATTAAATAAAGACCATTAAATAAATGTATGATATACAGTATAGGGCTGACACTTGGATAGTTCTGTGCAACTTGTCTGGCCATGGCAGACCTATGTGCAAATTATATACAGTATGTCTGGTTATGGCACACAAGTGTGTGCCATATACGGCAGCTAAATACCCCTGTGCTATGTAAGATATCTTTCTCTTTAGTTGATGTAGATATGAATAATTAAAAAGAACCACTATAGTCAAGTAATGTAATGTGGTGGTTTAAATTGAGGTTTTAGGTAGCGAGGGGGGAAAAAACAGGACTTGGGGTAGCTTATTGCTGTTATCATCTTCATCATATAACTCCGTCATCTGCCATTGCAGTGTACAAAATAAGTAATACAGACACATCAAAAGCATTTGAACAATGACATAAAAGGCAAAAGCAGCATATACTATAAACAAGATCCATTTGCTAGACACTGTATCCCTCTAGTGGAGGATCAGGCTATTGCCACTTTCCAGAAAAAATAAATGTCCCCAAATTCCTAATGCTATTT